GGTCTAGGGTCCCGACCCGGAGCGCGCACAGGCGCTGGGCGGCGGGCGGGAAGAGTCGCGGCCAGACCTTTCTCAGTTGCCTCGGTAGACTTCGATCTTGCTGGCCTTGGCCAGCATGTCGATGATGTGGGCCTCGAAATCGGCGTCGTGCACGCCGGTCTTCCGGAACTCGCCCGCGTACCGGTTATTCTCCCAGTAGTGGTGCCAGTTGCCCCGGCTGTCAGCCCCGAACCCGTACACGTTCACCTGCAGGGGAGGGCGGTGCAAGTCACCCCACGTCGGACCTTGGGAGACGGGACGCGGGGGAGCCTTGGGTAGTAGTGGGGAAGGAGAAAGGCGCCGCAGCGACCCGACAACCCGGGAGGCCGGCAGCTAATCGATTCCCAGAGCGCGGGATGCATGGGAAGAGGGGACACCCAAGCCTGGGCTAAGGACACTGACCGAGGGGGACTGCTGCTCCCTTTCAGCTCCTTCCACCCGTCTGATTGCTTCAAGAACAACGCCCCAATTTAGGGCTAGCCCAACCCTTGCTAACTTCTTTTTTTTTAATGGAGTACTTCTATTTGAAAACTGGTCAAGTACCCAATACCCTACGTTAAAGGATTTACTGGCAAAAGTGGGTGTGCTGGGTGTGAGCACTGAAGTGTATGGCAGAGCACCCCTGCCCACTAGCAAGATGCCTCCTTGAATGACTAACCTCCGTTTTTAACAATAAGAGAGCAGGCCTGGGGCCCACAGCTATGGGAGATAACCATCCCCCTGAATCTTAACTATACTATCTCCATTCTATTCTATTTATGTCTTTTATTATTTTTTCTTTATGGCAAGTAATATCAATTATGGAAGTAGTATTCTATTTCCTTTGTGAATAAATTTAACTTTTAAATGAAATGATTTCAGATTTGGTCAAATTAAAGTAGTAAGCTTGGGAAATGCAGAGCTCCACCGCCTAGAAATGGGGAGAAATCAAAGCCACTTGGTTTCTGCCTACAAAAACACATTCCTCTTGAAGCACTACTGAGCCCTGAGAAGGGCTGCTTTCCCTTGCTCCATGGGTCCCACTGTTTACCCCCAGACTGGGCTACCCACCTCATCACACACGTGCAGGGCAAAGAAGAGCACCAGCATCCCTGTGGAAGGGTACCGCCCATGATGCTCTGTCCACCTGTCATGGATGTACTTGAAGAAGGCTGGGTTGTAGATCTGGACCTGGAGGAGAAAATGTGACAGGCACATGAGGGTTTGGAGGGCCTAGAGGCACAGGGACAGGCTCTGAGTAGCTTGTGCCAGTCCCTCCACACTTGCCCTTGGACCTGTTCATCTGTGTTCCCTGGTTCCTTGCAGCCTCTGTGGAGGTCAGGCATCCCAGCAGATGGGGACACTGAAGGTTCTAGAAGGGCACTAAGGGATACCTGAGCCACAGGACCAGGCACACCAGGAGGTCAGGTCTGCACTGTTTCCAGTGAAGTGGGGATAAAGAAGGGGGCAGAGGAGGAAACTTACCTTTTCTTTGTCTACTCGAAGGAAGGACTTTACTGGCGCATAGGTACTGCAAGCAAACAAAAACACACAAAACATTTAGATGCCTTCCCTCCTGCTCAGGCCTGAGAGATGACAGCCTTACCACAAGACCCCCTGCTTCCAGACTGCTCTCCCACACCATATCCCTGCAGTACCTCGCTCAGAACCTTCAATGGCTCCCCATGCCCTTCAGGATAAAATAAGGATGTTTTATTAGACATACATTGGCCCTACCATATTCCAGCCCCAACTCTTCTCCCACAACTCTCTGCTATGAACTCTCCGCTTGAGTTCGCCAATCATCTCAAACCCACCATGTGTGTGCTCCTACCTGTGCCCACCTGACACTCGTGCTACTCTCCTCACATTTGGCACAAATCCCTCCTTCCCTATTAGCCAGCCATGGCACCCGTAACCTACACTCCCTTTTCTAATCCCTTTTAAACCTATGGGATTTAAACGCTATAGCATTTAGTTTAGCTTTTAGGTCTCCCAAACATAAAGGCAGGACACTGTGACTTACACTTCTGTGTTTAAAAACACATGATGAAAACAGGCAAGAGGTCACAACAACTCAATTTTCCATTATTGGATGAATGGAGAAACAAAATGTGGCATGTCCATTCGGGGGAATACTATTTAGCCTTTAAAATGAATGAAATCTGCCCTAGCTGGTTTGGCTCAGTGGATAGAGCATTGGCCTGCAGACTGAAAGGTCCCAGGTTCGATGCCAGTCAAGGGCACATGCCAGGGTTGCAGATCCCCAGTTGGGGGCGTGCAGGAGGCAGCCAGTCAATGATTCTCTCTCATCATTGATGTTTCTCTCTCCCCCTCTCCCTTCCTCTCTGAAATCAATAAAAAATATAAATAAATAAAATGAATGAAATCTAAGACATGCTACAGCATGGATGAACCTTAAAAACATCATGCTAAGTGAAATAAGTCAGATATAAAAGGACAAATACTACATAATTCTACTTATATGAAGTACCTAGAATAGTCTTAATCATAGAGACAGAAATAACAGTGATTATCAGGGTCTTGGGGAAAGAAGGAATGAGGAGTTATTACTTAATGGCTACAGAGTTTCCATTTGAGATGATAAAACAGTTCTGGAGGTGGGCAGTGGTGATGTTTGCACAATAATGTGAATGTACTTAATGCTATTGAACTGTACAATTAAAATTGTAAATTTTAAGTTACACACATTTTGCTGCACACACAACTAAAACCATGGTTAAGACAGTTGATTAGTGGTTGCCTTGGGGGGTGGGGGTTAAGGGAGTGGGGGTGATGGCTATGGTGTACAGGGGTATCTTTAGATCTGTAGATTAAAGGTTTTCATTTTTAGAACATGACAGTGCTCTAAAGTTAATTGTGGTGATGGTTATACAACTCTGAATAGGCCAAAAGCCATTGCATTATATACTTCACGTGGGTGAATTGTATGGTATGTGAATTATATCTCAATAAAGCTGCTAAAAAAAATACTTGGTTAGCCCTGGCCGCTGTGGCTCAGTTGGTTGGGTGTCATCCTGGGCACAAGGGGTTGCTGGACTGATTCCCAGTCAGGGCACATGCCCGGATTGCAGGTTCGATCCCTGGTAGGGGGTGTGCAGGAGGCAGCTGTTTCTCTTAAATCAATGTTCTCTTTCTCTCTCCCTTCCTCTCTTTCTAAAAATCAATAAGCCCTAACTGGTTTGGCTCAGTGGATAGAATGCCAGCCTGAGGACTCAAGGGTCCCAGGTTCGATTCCAGTCAAGGGCATGTACCTTGGTTGCGGGCACATACCCAGTAGGGAGTGTGCAGGAGGCAGCTGATCAATGTTTCTCTCTCATCAATGTTTCTAACTCTCTATCCCTCTCCCTTCCTCTCTGTAAAAAAATCAATAAAATATATTTTAAAAAATCTTAAACACACAAACAAAACCTTGGTTCACTGAATTTCCTGAGATTTCAAACGAAGCCACTGCCCCCAAAGAAAATTCTCAGAAGGCAGAGCTCCCACAGTTCGGAACCACCCCCAGGAAAGGAGACCAAAACCAGACTGTTCTTTCCTCACCTTTCCACCATCACTATGCTGGCTGTCACCATGCGGGAATTGACAAAAGAACATGTTCAGGCCTCAGCTAAAGCCCCACTTGGGGCCCTCCCTCCTGGGGCCTCCCTCCGCACCAGCCCCTCCTGGCTAAAACAGTTAAAGGAATTCTAAGATCCAGTCCCCAGGAAGACTCCTCCCAAGGTGGTCCTGTCACCCATATTGCACTCCCAGTCAGCAGGGCAGCTCACAATCGGATCTGTCCCGTGGACAGGGCGCTCGCGATCCACAGCAGGTCCAGGGCCTTGAAGGGCACCAACACAAAGCTGACGTTGGCGGGCAGGTTCTTGGCACTCTCAGGGTACATGAAATGGTGGGTGGTTCGGCTGCCAACATCCTGCTCAAAGCCCACAGTTGGTGCCTGATTCATTCTGCAGGGACAAGAGGTTGACATGAGAAGAAACTGCCATAGAAACTGGTACACACAAAAGAAAAAGGCAAAAGAAGCTGGTACAAGATTTTTAGAGGACGATTTGGTGCTAGCCAAAAAATATGTATAAATACACTCTCATCTAGCAATTCCATTACCAGAAGTCCATCTGTAAAAATAGGTGCGGCCTGAGAGTGGTGGCTCAGTGGTTGAGCTATGAACTAGGAGGTCATGGTTCGATCCCAGTCATGGAATATGCCCAGGTTGTGGGCTCAATCCCCAATCATGGAGGAGGCAGCCAATCATTGATTCTCTCTCATCATTGATGTTTCTATCTCTCTCTCCCTCTCACTTCCTCTCTG